GATACGGGCTTTCTGTGAATCGCAATATTTATAATGGCCTGTTCTTTAGAATTAGATCATGAGAAAGCTTTCGACTTCTAAACCAGGTTAGGTGATAGATCATGTATGTATGTACCTACGGGCGCAATTTATTGGTGTAGAGGACGTATGCATAAAGAAAGTACCTGTATAATGTAGCATTACTTACACATTCGTTATTTTCCGATAGGCTTAGTCTTTACTTTTCCTAGTGAATACCAAGTGAATACGACGTCTCTGCTCAATGTTATGACGCCTATGTGCATGCGCCTTCCCTCCTCTTACTTCTCAGTATCCATCTATAACTTAAACTCAAGTGTAAGGGCGGGGGCGAGGCATTAACTCTTCCATCGACCTGAGGCAGCGTCTGGTTTTAGGGTCAATTCAAGGGATTAGCCGGGCCTGCGGCGGCAGGAGAACATTGCTGTACGGCTGAAGGAGGTCGTACGGTGTCCTTAACTGCATCCCTTCGCTATCACATTTTCATACCGCAACAGATAAGTGCCTATTATGCTACCCTGAGGATAGTGCGTAGAAATATGTGTGTGTTAGACGAGCAACCGCGATTATCAAGAAGAGGATGCAAGTCAGAAATAACCTGAGTATGGCTTCAATGCTGATACACTAGCACACTGCACAAGTGCATACATTAATCAACATTATACATGGAATCATGTTTATATTACCCACGAATGAAGTTTTCCGTTTCTTTGTTAATTGTGAACATATTTGTAACATTTCAAAAATGACTTCATGCAAAACAAACTGACTGGAGCCCCTGTAGCATACAAACAATCAACACACAGGAAACGCCCAACGCGTGAGATTTACACAGTCACATAGACGTGATTGATTAGCTCGTAGCACCAAATACATGAGCTTCATGACATAACTTAATGACGTTACTCAATGTAGCTTCAGGACATAACTTGCAAATCAGCTCGAACCTAATGTGAACGAAGAACCGGCTTATGATCGTTTGTTTTGGGTCACCTAGAACACTATCGGATCTGCAACCGCTTATCTCCGGCCCCACACGTCAGTACGACCATGTCTGTGGTGGTGTGTTCCAGGAAATTGGTCCCTTGGCGGCGGGTCTGGCGACAACACCTGTGCCCGGCTGCCAGCCGCCCCTCGTGCTTTGCGCGATGCACAGGACTGAGCGACAACTTCCGCTGCGCTCAGCCAGCATTCGGCAATGAGCTATGTTTGTTAAATACGATATAGAAATGTGAAAAGAAAAAAGCTAAAAGCAAGCAAAATCCATTTCAGAACTCTAATTTTTGGTATTATTCACGATTGAAATAATAACGGATGCTGCCGAAGAAAATATATCTTGTAGGAGCGGCATTACCATGATCCTGGTTGAATGCTTTATATCAATCACCTTAGATAAATTTCAAGAATAAGAAAAATAATGAAACCAACAAGTCGCTTAACCATGATGCATCCCGCAGTCTAGACGTCTGGATCGAGGGATACATCGACCACCGTGTCTGCTTTGAGTGGTCAACAGTCAGGCATCAGACATGGCCTGATACATTGTCTGGGCTTACAACTACCCTCAGAAAGATAAATGTGGCAAATAGGGGTATGAAGAAAGGACCAGACGCCTTCCTCCGTCTACTTACCCATGCATTCTACAAGAAAGATAAAAAGAACGTGGTCCACACGGAGAAAAACGCTGTTTTTAGTGGCCTAGTGGGTAGAATGTTCGCCTATGTTATTGCAATCATGTTCACGTCTTACATGGCACATACATTGAAACATCAGCACGTTATCAACGCTAGGAAAGCAACTATGTTTTATGATGCCTTTATTCTCTAGAAAATTCACCACCATTGCATCGTTGAGCCTCAACCTTCCGGCAGCCAAGCCAAGCCACTTGAGCAAACTGCCCTCCCAGCAAAGTTAGCGCAATGCCGTTAGCTCGTGTCCGATATGGTATCAGCAGTGGAGTTTGCCTGACGAGTCTGTTGATATTGTCAGTCACTTTGTACCCAGCTGAGGCGGCGATAACTGCGGACCTTGCGACGGGGATGCAGTGTAGTGAGTAGTGACAGTCGTTCGACCACCGCGACGCGGACAAGGTGACCTGTCAGCGTGCAGTGCAGCCTGTCATACCTGTGAGCCGGGGTTGAGGTGACCGTGACTGCGTCGGGTGCTGACTGCCCCCTGTCTGTCAGGTGCCGACCTGCTAACTGACGTCAGACGGCTTCTGATATTTTGCGATGTGACACGTGTCTGTGCGATACTCGTCAGTGAGGGGATCACTCACGGCAGTGCCTCGTCAGGCGTGATAGTGAGCGTGATACGTGCTTTCAGTGAGGGGGTGATCCGTAAACGCATGTGACGAGTGACTCGGCAGATAAAATCCCTCGGGTATGGCGGAGGCCAATGTGAGCAAGAACAACCCACCTATGGAGGACATTTGGAGGGTAGAAATTGGCCAAATCATCATCCGGTTTCGTACCAACAAACCCAAAGGGGCGCTGTGCGTTTGGCAAAACCTAGTGTCTCAGCTATCAACTCTCCTGAACGGATGTTTCGAGACTGAGGCTCTAGTGCTATGGAAGATGCTCCTTAACGCGATCCCAGAGCTTCTAAGGACGAGCCATATCGCAGAAACCCAGACTTTGTGGAGGTCTCTCACAGAAACGGTACTGGAAATAAGAGCAGTGGGATATTCACAGACAGCGAGTGCGATGTGGAAGACGCTGTTAGCCATGGCACCAAAGCTGCTCGCAGAATTTCCAAACGGTGTCACAGAGCTGATGTGGACTGAAGTGTGTCAAACAGCAGCCGAAATGGAGTCTGGTGCTTCCGATCCGGAGAGAACGCCACTTCCTGCATCGCCGTCACCGTCACCGCTGCCTTTACCAACAGCGTCACCAGCGCTAACATCGTCACCAGTGCAACCACCGCCCCCGCTACCGTCACGGTCGCGGTCACCTTTACCGACCTTGTCAATACCAGAACCAGGGCCACCAGCAGGACTGTCACCAGGGTCTTCACCAAAGCGCCTGTCACCAATACCTTCACCAAAACGTCCGTCACCAGCACCTTCACCAACCCGATCTTCACCAGGTGATCCGAGGCAGAGTCGCTTTGATCCGAGGCGGACACCGTTACCGCCACCACCAGTACAGCAGCTACCATCAGCACAAGCACCAGTAACGTCGGCACCATCACCAGCACTGACACAATCAACGTCACCATCGCCGTCACCATCACCAACAACAGCTCAGTACCTTCCACCCAAACCACGTCCAATATCACAGTCTGGTTTGCAAGAAACTCAGCACTCAAAGCCGCCCAAACCGAAAGTGAAACCTAAACCTCTGCTCGCTAATCGAAAAACTTTTACAGCTCCATCACTTGCCCCATCAATACAACCAGCGCCAAGACCCGTTGTGAAGCAGCAACCTCTAGTGGTGACCCAGTCGGGTGACCAGGTGTCGACGACTGACTCCGAGTGGGATCAGGGGATGCAGCAGGTCCTCACGGAGCTCAGTCACAGGGGTATCGGAGATCTCCAGAGAGGACGGCGGACCGGCAGGATGGGGAACGTGCGCCCCAAGTCGTGCCAAAACCCCACAGGTAAGACGGGCGGGTGCGGCGACCAGCGAGTTACGCAGGTGTGGGTGCTCTAAGGCGTTCAGCGACTCGCTGAATGGGGAGCTAGCTGGGGTATCTAAAGAGGGGTTCAGTATCGGGCTTCATTGCCGATTAAGGTTCAAAGCTGATGAGAAGAGACTTTAAAAACTGCTCGGCGAAAAACGTAAGCCCATAACAAATGAAATGTCCAACTGGGCTTGGTTGGTTACTGTCACTCTTTTCTTTGAACCATTTTTCGCATATATGTACATTCAGCGCAGGATATTGTTTCTTACCAAATCAACCTGTCTATCTAAAATTCACAGATACCCGGAGGCTTTCGGCACCTTTCGAAAAGCTTTTCAGTGCGCTGACTCCATCGGGACTGCAAGATCTGCAAGGTCATGACCTCACCTGCCAGAGCTGCCCCGCTACGGCGACAGACAACATAGAGGACGAGCCCGGCTGGGTCATGGTGCCTCGCAGTCTCCCGCAGTCACAGGCGGTAGGTACTTGGGACTCGTCACAGAGGGGCCCTTTCCTGAGCGATACGATCTTTGTATGTATTGATCTCTGTATGATGATTTGTGAGGTGTACGATCTTATTATCAATCTGCGGCATACTGCAGTGATACTGAACTTTGAAAGTTATTCGGAGAACGGAAACTGACTAAGCCGTAAGCGTACGTATATTCATTGTTCCCCGTGTCTTAACTTTATTTTACAAAGGCACCCAGGTCCCTAGCCCCTGACGGAGTCTCCAAGCCTTGACATGCAGGTAATAAACTGACTTCTCTCTATCTTATCAGTCAGATTAATTGGGTCTCCGGGCACCTCAGGGCTAAGTGCAACACATCAAGTGTTACACCAGTATTGATATCATATATCATATATTTCGGACAACACCCATAAAATGAATGAAAAGATTTAAGAACCAAGGCCTAATGGGTTGATAAGGGAGTGTCTGATTACACAGAGGAGTTTGCCGGCTGTATGCAAGTGTATCTAGGGGTTAGAAACTTGCAGGCTAGGTGTTAGGTAGGTACCCTTATCATGTAGATTGGTGGTGGTGGAACGATTAGTCCGTGAGTTGCTTGCTTAAACCATGCTAAATTAAGATAGGTACCTAAGGCAAATGTAACCGCGCATGTATTTTGCTCGGACACCCTAACCCGATCGAAAATCCCAAAAACTTATACGCTGTCTAAATTTAGCTGAAGACGCAAGTAGGAGCCTCTGCGTTGTTTCGTGATACAGCAGGAAATTCGGTTACGGAACCCCTGCAGCGGGGAATTTGGCAGCGGAAATCCCGTGCGCTATCGGTAGTCAGCTGGCGGCTGCAGTGACCCTGAGGTCGGACCGGGGAGGGGGGAGGGGGAGGGTGGCAGGGGCAGAGGCCGGTCACAGTGCCACGCGCCGCGGACGGGTCAGCGTATGTGTGAGCGTGTCCTGAGGTAGTAGCTGTGCAGACTGAGAGGTTCCTGGAGAGAAATGTCGATACAGGTGGTGAGTAATATGTCTAGTATCCATAACATTGCGAATAATGTTGTGCATACAGTATGTCTAGTGCCTAGCCCCACAGTAGTGCGGCATGATAATGTGACAGACTAGGATCAGGATGAGCGTGCTAGACCAGATTCATACGCTGTTGCCTCAGATCTACCTCCATAATATTCACAGAAATGCACGGAAGTCACTCTTGGCTTCACCCCGAATGCCTTATTCCCATTTTTGCTAAGAACTTGAGACGAAAGAAAGCCATGGGATTGGGAGTAGTGCCTACCTAAGTTCATTTCAGTGTTTAAGATGAACGCTGTTTTTTTTTTTTTTGCATTTCTATCCTGCTCAAACTTATCGGTGAACGGTGGTCTATCAATGGCATACATCGCGCCAAAAGGACGATACGTATCGCGCCATTCTCAATATGATGTAGCTCGCTGAACACAGTCCTTTCTTTCCCAGGAGTTGGATGATGGCTCTGGAGCTGCCAGAGTTCGTTTCTCGGCTTCTGCTACGAACGGATCGCCGCCGGGTGCGGAGCCGGTGGGCACGTCTCCTGCTACCTCCGGAGGGCCACTGCTGCGTCCATCCTCCTCTTCAGCTTCCCTAACAGCACCCACGTCACCCTCTTCACCAGCCGAGCCGCCGCTCTGGTGCCGACTGCCCTCCGTTATCAACAGCGGCGTCCTCGACAGCCTCAGCAGCGACCAGAGGAAGCTGCGAGAGGCTCTGTTCGAGATCATCAGTAAAGAGGAGTCGTATCACAGCTCCCTTCAGCTATTAGAGCGTCATTTCCAGGAGCCACTTCGAGCGCTAAGCCAGAAGCCACCATCGCCGAAACAGAACGGTCAAAACGGGCAGAAAGCACGGCAGTGCACCTTCAGTGAGACCGAGTATCGCGAGCTGTTTCAAAACGTTGACGAAGTGCGCCGGTGTTCAGATGACTTTCTGACTGACCTGTACCAAATACCCATGGACGATCTCTCGGGCCTCTGTGACATTGTGCACGAACACGCAAGCACAACTTCTACCCGTACAAGGTCTACTGTGCGCACAAGTGGCACCAGGACCGTTGTCTTCAGCAGCTAACCGAGCGGAGCTCACCGCTCGCCGCGCTGCTCTCCCGCCTGGAGATGTCCCCAGAGGTGCGCGGCCTGGGTCTGGCGGCGCTCCTCCACCTGCCCGTGCAGCACGTGCAGAGGCTGCCCATGATGATGGAAGCTGTGCTGAAGAGGATGCCACCCGATCACCCGGAAAGACAGAGCTGTGAGGAGGCGCACCGGGCGCTCACTAAGCTCGTCAAGGATTGTGACGAGGACGCTGCCCGGGAAGAGGAGATTGGTGAGTAAAAATCGACTTTCTGCTAAGAATGACCGTGTTATGCATAAAGCATCTAGCTGATAGTGTGTGTGCTTCTTTATGTTTCTCACAAAGTTAGTATTACTCCTCAGACATCTCTGACCTCCGTCCCCCGTCCTCTCGCTGGGTTTCAGGAGGCGGAGGAGAGTGGCACGGTCGAGCCGGAAAGGGCCGCGAAGGGCCGCCTGTCGTGGCGGCGGAGGGGCGTGCGTCGCCACAGTGCAGATGTGGGGTCGCTGAAAAGGGCACCAAGCTCATGAGGGGGGCCCGTATCCGGTGGATAAGGTCCTACTCCGAGGAACTGATTGTCAGGTCAGATAGTCAGGCAGACTGTGATAGGAGTCATTTTGATAGAAGATAGAGCGACAGAACGGCTAGGGTATTCGAAGCGTAGGAAGATCCTCACCCCTGGCTACCAGATCGGTTACGCCCATGATAAGCATATTCATTAAATCAACTGACAGCTGCGTTGAGACAGCACTTAACGTCATTTAGTGTCGTTTTCGAGCACAATTCAGCCTATCCGTAACAGTGGTCAGTATGTAATTGTTCAGGTCTGAGTGTGGCGTCAAAACCGTGACGTAGTGCATAATTTACTGGGCGTTTTCACTGCCTCACTCGATCATAATTGTCATTGGAACTAGCTGGCTACATGATTAGAAAGGGTTTGGTGATTGTGATATGTCTCATGTTCATGTGCTTTCAACTGTGACTTAGTATGACAGTGTACGTACGTTGAAATGTGAATAAAAATCTAGCAAAGTCATTTTCAGTCAGCATTCAGTCGTTCATCATTTCCTCAGGGATAAACGGTAAACAGACAGTCAAGTAACTACTTCGTTAAACAAAGGTCACACGAAAAGATATTCGGCGTAAACCAGCAAACTCAGTTGTCAGCAAAGATGAAACGAAGCTAACGGAACTGTGACTTAGCCTAGCACCATGTTTCAACTGTGGATTGTGTAATGCGGGGGTAAGGGGTTGCAACTGCAGCGGAAGTGCAAGTCTCCGTCCGGTCTTGCACTTCGCGGCGGCATGCGACTCGACATCTGCGCAACTCAGGCGATCGTGGCAAGTGCTGGAGCAGACGGAGTCATTTCCTCTTCACAACTGCGACCTATCTTCGCATGGAATGAGAACGAGACGTTGCGAAAGCCCAGCAAAGCATGAAAACTGTAATCGAAGGCTTGTGAATGAACAAGTCTATCGCATCTTCATTCTTCAACACAAAAGCTTAACCCTCGCCCGGCGAGGGGGGGTTGATGCAGCCCCCCCCCCCTAAGGTTTTTCGCAAATAACGTTAAAACGGCGGCGCGTAGCGAATTTGGCATACCCTCTGGGTCAACCTTTTGGCACCTTCCCTGAAAATTTCAGGTCTCTGCCGTTTCAGGTCAGATCACCAGGTCAGAAAAACCGGTACAAGGTCATGGTCAAATTTCAATTTTCTTTATGCACCTGTTCAACTCACAGTTTTGAACTGATTTCCTTCAAACTTTCAGGATGTCCTAAGTTCACTGAGTTGTATAACATATAGTTCGTTTTTTCATGTCGCTGACCTGAGATCAGTTAGAGGTCATTACGTCGTAATGTTACGCCTATGGGAAAATATTCAATTCGGAAAATACTGGCGATATCCGCTTCTTTCTATCACTTTGGTGCTCTGAAACAACAGTACTCAAGATTATGTCACTTGGTGCTTCTTTGTTTGGTGTACTTGTCCATGGGTCAGGTCAAATGAGGTCAACTGAGGTCAAATGACATTTGTGCCAATAACTTGTCACACAATAAAGATAGAGCTTTCAAAATGGCATCATTCTGTTCCTCTTGAACAGCCGAGTCGAATGATATGCAACATTAAGCATTTCGACCATTCTTTAGACTTAAGATGTGCTTAACTTTCTTTTTAAGTACACTTAAGCAAGCAAACAAGTATATCATTTGACGCGCCTTGACGTGCTGAGTTCACTGGTGCTTTTTTTGTTCTATCTTAATTAGATCAAAAGTTATAAGCGAAAAACTTTTGGCCTGTTTTTAGCAAAAATTTTACACTTATACCCCTCCCCCCCAAAAAACCCTAAATATTGACCTAGAGCAACCAAAGTTACACAGGGGCGAGACCTCCTATAGACCCATCTACCCTGTAAATTTGGTGTTTCTAAGTGCCATAGGAGCCAATCGCCAGGGGGGGTCGTACCCCCCCCCCCCTCGCCGTCCGTGTAATGGAAAAGGCCCTCGCCTGGCGAGGGTTAAGATGACCAAGATATAGCCTGAAATATACTTAATTTCATTAGTACAAAACCTGCCGCTAAAACCCGCGAGACCTGTACATTAGAAATGTCTATGTGGAAGTTCTCCATAAGTCAATTGATGAATGGACACCGCAGCAATGCCTGTATTATCTCCGAGACCTAACTATAATGTAATTGGTGACACCGTCTGAGCACTGTGACGCTCCCGCGTCATTACTTACACGCTATTTGTCGCAAGTCATTTATCGCACGTCATTTGTTTGCGTCATTTGTTGTGCATGCCATCTGGCGGTGTCATTTATCGATTTATCGAGCGTCGCATGGGTCATTCATCTCGGCTCATTGGTATATGCGGCGTCATACGTGCATTTCTATTGTCGTCGTACCTTATTATCGGACCGATCTGTAACGAAATATAGACGATCTGTGACGCTTTGGATATCTCCCAGGTTAGCTATACCTATAGGTACTCCTAGTACCTACCTTGGCAGTCCATGTTAGCTGTTTCTATTGAAAGTTTGATGTCCATAACATCAATGATCAGACTTGTCTTGAATCAGAAAAAAGCCACGTAGATTTACTGAAAATGTGTCACCTGTCGGGTATGCTATATTTAAAAAGAGCAAATAATAGCTACCAGTATCTTTTAGTGTCAATAGTGGGTAAATGATAGCCACGATACCAGGATGCGAACACACCGCCAACAGATAGCAGAGAATCAGCGACTCTTCCCACGTGTAATATCGCTCCTCTCGTCCAGCTCTTTCCCTCTCTCTCTCCCTCTCTCTCTCTCTCTCTCTCTCAATCTCTCTCTCTCTCTCTCGCTCTCTCTCTCTTTCTCGCTCTCGTCTTTTTTCCTCTCTCTCTCTCTCTCTCGCTCCCTCTCTCCTCCTCCCTCTCTCTCCTCTCTCTCTCTCTCTCTCTCTCTCTCTCTCTCTCTCTCTCCTCTCTCTCTCTCTCTCTCTCTCTCTCTCTCTCTCTCTCACACACACTCTCTCTCTCTATCCATCTATATCCATCTATCTATCCCCCTCTCTCTCACTCTCCCTCCAGATCACTAGAACCATGAGACTCGGGAGGTGGCTGCGGCCGTCAGAACGACCCATTCTACTTTAATCGGGCGAGTGAATTTCCCACTTGCCGGGCTCGGTGAACTGTCGGAAACGGCTGAGGACCTCTGACTGAGACGCCGTGGCTGTACCCGTAGGTCCACAGGCTGCCGGTAGGTTTGTGTCAAATCCAAAGGTCCACAGGCTGGTGGATAGATTAAAATCTGAGCTAGAGGTGGCAAAAGATGAAAATTTTGGGAACCAGACTCGAACCAGACCCGGCTGGACATTTCTGGAACCAGTCAGACCCGGTCTTAGTTGGAATCGGAACCAGTTGGACCCATTCCCCAAAAGTCAATTAATACTAACTACTTGTAAGTATCATTAGCTGCATCATGTAAAACAGCTTATTGCCCACTGGGGATATTCATGAGCTACTGTTTGCAAAGAAACATTCACTTCATTCACTTCATATTTTGCAATAATGTGTAGTGTGCAAGATGTATAGTTTATGGTAGGACCCGGTTGGACCCGTCAGAAAATTTCCAGGAACCGGTCTGGACCCATATGGGTCCAGACTGGTTCTTTGGACCGGGTCCTCGGGTCCACATTTTGCCACCTCTAATCTGAGCCATGGAGACACAGATGCAAAGGCTGACCGGATTTGCTATATAAATTCATGGGGATGTGTTGTCGTAGATTCATTATATATTTGTTTTATTTTTAAATCATTCTGTCAACAGACAACAACACACCAGCCGTCGCAAATTGCGGTGCTTGATAAAACACTGTCACTGTGAAGGAAGGATTCAGAGGTGATAGATCACGCGCTGTGTATCAAGAGTCACATCTGAAGTCTGACTGAAACCCGCCTGAGCAACGCCAGATTGACTGATAAGACAGGTCGTCTACCGTGTCCCTGAATGGAGGTCGCCGCCCGTTAAGGGTACACTCTACTACACCCTGTCTGTCGTCACTCGTCACATCTCAGTCCTCAGTCTACACGGACAGCACGCCGACCTCTGAGGGTCACGCTGACCATAGCACACCTACCGAACCGTAAGGTGACGGTGGCAGTGCTCTCCTGGCCGTCCCCGCCATCAGCCAAACTGATGGCATCTGTCTGAGGAACCGATCTCAAGGCATTATATAATTTACTACCCATACCTAGTCAGTGGATTAGGTATACCCGGTAGTGGATGTCAATTTGTAATGAACAATAGGTATCAATACCTAAATAACCGCACATCTGTTTCTCAGAAAAATCATCATCACAATTTCCCTCGCTTCGTCCAAATAATTGTTTCATGTAAGCTATAGCGTCCCTTCGAGCAGCAGCTGAGTGGTGTATTACCCCTTCGCCGAGCGGTGACGCAGCAGAGGCAACTTCGGCGCAGCAGTCGGGGCAGGTGGCAAATGGCATCCGGAGCGCGGCAAACTTTGCCGCATGGTGCACCAGTTGGTGCCAGGACGTAATTGAGAAACACGTCCGTGGCGGTCGGCCTATCTTCAATACCTTCTCGGCTCAGTGCCGCAGGACTTCAGTTGAGTAGTCCGGCAAATAGTTAACCAACTTTCCCGTGAACATTGAACAGATCACCTGCGCAGCAGAGGGTTGGTCTGGAAATTTGATGTAACGAGCAGTTGCAGAGTGAAAACTTACATTCCTTTCCACCAACAGTTCCGGCACCTTGGTTCCGGTATGCTGTTTTGAGGTTAAACTGCCGAGCAATTAACCATTAACTTTAAAAGAGTAAGCGGCGGCCACTGCGGGCCAATGGGCTGAGACGGTTTGTAAAGACCCGTTGTCTTTACCCGTAATAAATAAAGGAAGTTTATCCACCTTATCCACATTGTAAGTACCAGCCACCAGGGGAGAGACGCTTTGACACACACAGGTTTGCAGAAGAAACCCAGATAGCGCCGAATTGCTTATAAGATCACATCAAGGCTCATCACAATACGCTCCACCGATCACAGAAGCATCCCAGCATTCCACTGATCCCCGGCTCGGCCACAGACACGAGTTATCATTACGAACTTTTCCCAAGCGTCAATAAAACATCTTCTAAATACTTTAACTACTGAACTTACAGATCCGAAATCACTCTGTAAGGCGCGCGTGCCATCTCCTCTGGGAAATGGAGCCGGTCCATTTGGGACCGTCCGGGTCCCCTCCCGGAGACCGGAGTGGGACCATCAGCTCCGGGTCCTCCCGGAGCGGCCCATCAGCTGCCGGTCCGGGAGGCGCGCCGCCGCCCGGACACGACCTGAGCCGAGCCGTAGCACGTCTAATTGTGCAGATGGACAGCGCACTCATGGTTCTATTTCTGAGCGGCTCCTCTCTGAGTTCTGCCGCTCCTGCAGTGGTGGAACTCTGCAAAAATGACACCGACGCCGCCTCCGAGCGCAGTGTCGGCGATACGGATCGGCCCACTGCGAGCCGCGCTTCGGCTAACTCCCGCCGCCACTGCGGGTCGACATTTGAGCAGATGTATATGGAACTGTAGGAAGGAGATGTGGTACAGAGACCGACACCAATTTGACATATCACTACTCACTGGACAAACGTCATGTAGCTACCGCACCCCCGAGAAGAAAACGTGAAGAATTGTTTAAAAGTGGCGAGCGTTTTAAACTAGGTATCGAAAAACGCTTTCGATGCAAATTCTAGCGGCTGTTGAGCAGTCCAGCTCAACTGTCCACCAGGGTCCAGGCAGTCACATTTAGCAGCTGATCGACTAACGTCTGCTGCATATAGCCCGTCCTGCGCCCCTGAATGGCCAATGACCAACGGCCGTTACCTACAGCTCAATTATCTCCGAACTGCCCCCAGTCACGTGCCCCAAGCTGGAGACCATGCCCCAGGTCACGTGCTGGGGGGTCACGTCGGTCACGTGCTGGGGGTCACGCGGGTCACGTACGGCCTAAACCAGTCCAATGTCGGTTGGTAATGGCAGCCGGTGCCGTTATCGTATAATTGGGCGGCCCCTGAGCGGCAGGCAGCAGCAGCGCCGCGGTGTGACGGTACCGGTCCGGATTTACTTTGGGTGATTGGAGTAGGATGTTGCTGCTGCTTGAACGGATGTCGCGGTTTGAGCTTGCGCCCCAGAAACAATCATAAGCCGCCCCCGTATCCTCTACCGATTTCAAGTCATTTGTAACAATAACTTCTTCGTATTTGTCATGACATTGCACTTGTTTTCACCTGGCTAGTCTGTATTCCGGTATGGCCAATCGGGACAACATCCATGAGAGCATGTTATGAGGATGACATGCTTCCTCAGTTCGTGCAAAGGATAAGCGCCTGTCCTCCACCACAGAAAAAGAGAGCAGCGAAGGTGCAGACTGCAGCGGCCAGTGCATATAGCTCAACCTATATGCAGTCTCGTTACACTTCATACTTTTCCAGCATAGCTGACGTTTTGGTGTTTCACACCTCTGCTCCATGTCTGCATGTGAATCTTCATATTCGGCTTTATATTCCGGGTACATAAGTCAAAGTCTAGAAATAAGTCCCCGATAGGTAGGTACGTGATCTCCTCCACGTTTCCTCGCCAATCGGGGAGATGATAAGAAGCAGCACCTGAGGAAATGTGGGTGCCCGGTGCGGAATACCGGATACGGATTATATGTACTCCTTCAGCAGCAGCGGTCATTACCATTTTTGTTTTGTATTGTAGGAGAGAGACACTTCAAAAAAGTGGCAGCTCTAGCAGTGAATAATTTAGAGGTGAGCCAGAATAACAAAAGAAGTGAAAACAGAAAACATTACGGGTCTAAAAACAGCTAAAAAAATAATCAGAATTAACAGGATTTGTAGCTTTGTCTTTTTCATTCACACAACAGCACAAAATAATAATAATAATCCATTTCCATCTCTACATGGCCATGAGCCAATCACAAGCGTTCTTTCAGTGACGTCACATGACCTTGATGAAAATTGACAGGATTTTACTGCAGCGATGGCGTCCGGACTCTGATAGATATTCGAAAGAACAAAGAGATTTTTATTAATATCAAGCTGACTGGTAAATGTGACATTATTTTATATTCCACTCTCCTATTCGCAGCATCAAGTGGAGGAAAGCACTGGTTCTTTGAAAAGGTAAGTCTATTTGTCGGGTTTTATTTTAGCCGCACAAATGTCGGGTAAAATATGTTGAACGTTTATTTGGCGATTCCCAAATTCAGCATTTTACGCAAAACACTGGAAAGTACGTGCGTCACTGTTGATCAGTATTGTACAGCAGATAGAAATATGTAAAGAAGCATGTCATGCAACCTTATCCCACTCTTAATAATGACCGTATCATTAAAATAAAGAATTTGCAGGCAATTAATTTTGCACTGTAGTTTGTAAACACAGCTGATCCTGCACCGGGCGCCACGTGATTGTGCACGATGAAATTTCTGGTGAAAGAATGGACCGGGGGTTGAATGAAGTGTCTACATCAGCTTAAAAGAATGGAATGTGTTCTATATAAATTGCATGTGAGTCTCTGCTTAAGCTTGAACTGAAACTAGGCTTATTTGCAGGCCTTGTCACAGAAAATCCCATCAAACACGAACAATTTTACACAAGTTTTGCCATTCCATTGTAAACCTGGTTATTTATTTTCAGTTGATTGCATTGTTTTTCAGTTTGACTTGTTTGTCATGTGTTTTTGTCCTGCACTTGCTAATAATACTCGTATGAATTTCCCTGCAGCCTGAACTGTCTCCATAGCACCCAGCCATGGACCTGGGTGGGAGCGGAATGGATCTGCAGGAGACGCAGTCGGTGGTCGGCCTGCACGTGGATGCAGATGACCTGACCATGGACGAGCAACAGGCCGGAGTGGAGCTTGTGGCGGGAGGCCAGCAGCAAGACTGGTGCCATGTCTCGCAGGCACCTGTGCAGGTATACTGGAATTGTACCTGATAGAGGTGAAATTGTCCTTTTGCACCCTATGCTCAAAATTGCATAAAATCCATACTGTTTTGTCACAAACCTTATACCAGCCTAGAAT